GGGATGAATAACAAGCGGATAATAGCACAATTTGAATATCAACAAAATCGATTAAAGCAAGGTCAATTTGCACGCATGTGAACATCCATATTGTCAACTTTACTTGGAAAGGGGCGGAAATTTGGGGGAAGGAAATAACAAAAAAGGGTCACTAAATGTAGGCCTATGGTCACCAAGGCAGCTGTGGATTAGCCAAATGTTCTAATTGCTTACATAGGTCGGGTTTCAGCCGCCGTATATAGGCTGCTTCCATGTAGCGTAATGTCCGGTTTGTTCGTGCTCGAACAAGAACTCGGAAAGATGTTTTCGGATCGACAGAATGACCACTGTCCAATAGATGTTTTGTAAAAGAGGACCGAGGTACTTTGTCTTCCTGTTTAAAAAGCCAAGAAGGTAAATGTTCAGCTGCCCTGGTCGCCAATTGCCTTTGCGTTCGCCCAATGTACTTGCATCCGCAAGTATATGCTTGTTACAAATGTCAACAATATTTCATTCCTGGACTTGCAGAGGCCAAGACTTATCTGAAGAAGGTGTTTTTTGGGATATAAAGGTAATTGTAATCAGTGAATTCTTCAGTATGGTTCGCCAGCTCGGCTTCAGACTAACAAGAAGTGTGCAATGCACAAATAAAATATGAAACGGGCGGAAAAAAATCAATAATTACATGGTGTGAGACTTGATTGGTAGGTGTGGTCTCAATCAGTCTGTGTTTTGCGGCCTTCGTCTCTTTCACCGTTCTTTGAGGGGGTTTTAGATACCATTTACCTCTATGTGGCGGTTGGTGCATGAATCTTCGGAGTACATGACCTTAAAAATTCTCGGCCATTATTGGAGGAGCAAACACCGACGATGCGTGCACTGCCTGCACTCTGACGATTTGTGCACCAACCGCAACATAGAGCTAGCTGGTATCTATAAACACTCCAAAGAACGATGGAAGACACGAAGGCCGCACTTACCAATCAGGTCTTACACCATATAACTATGGCTTTTTTCCGCACGTTTGATATTTTAGTTGTTCATTAAACATTTATTGTTAGGCCGAAGACGAGCTGGGGAACCAGCCTCGAAAATGCAATGACTAAAGTTACCTTTACGTCCCAAAAAGCATTTCCTTCAAATTAAAATTTCTTGAGATGCGTGCTTTCCAGTTTATACGAACCTATATATCATCCTACGAAGAAGGCATCGCAGCGAATGACAACATCACTTGGCTTCCCATGTCCTCGACCAGCCTGTAAAAACGTGTAAGTTGGTGGCCCAAGCGAAAATAACACCGTCGATTCCGAGGAGGTCGCCACATTACTGTGGTATAGAGACGGTAACGTGCGCGTAAGTTAGATTAACCGACAGTCTCGTTTTAGGTTCGCTACGCTTAAGTCGCATAGCTGTCTACTTATTTCGTAGAAGTAGTAATAATATTTTGTCACCACAAAAGTACGATGCAGTCCATCCACATTGTATTCACCACGCGGGTGTCTTTAGCGTCCCGCGGTCAGCTTTAGTTTTATCAGTTTTAGTTTAGTTTAGTTTTACTTTAGTGATCGCGTGTTATTAATTTTGCTCTTTTCAGTTTACTTTTGTTTACTTTAGTTTTTAGTAATGGGTTATTTTACACCGATCTGTTTGAGGATGCACTCATCCTGTTTTTTATTGTTCGTTTTGCGAGCTTATTGGAGCCCCAATTATGTATGTTACTCGCTAACTTTTAGTAACAATGGTATTTAATGGTATTCACCGACAAACGGAGAGCACACTCACGACAACACGGCGGACCCGTGGCACAGAGGTAGAGCGTTCGCCTCTGGCCCGAGAGACGTGGGTTCGAAATTCGAGTGTGGCGGCAATTTCCGCTGCTACACTGGAGTTGAGCTACCACCACCTGAAGACGTCCAACGAGACAGAAAAGGCCTTCGTGAGTGTGCTCTCCGTTTGTCGGTAAATACCATTAAATCCTTTAGTTTTTAATTTTGGTTTATTTTTAGTTAGTTTAGTTACAGCTTATTGCAGTCTTAATTTTTCGGTGATATCATACTTTAATATCGGCCGTAATGAAAGAAAACTATCTTTTATGGAGTTCTTGATAAATGTAGCCAAAAGCCATGATATCACCATCTGACTACGCTTCGTTTTAGTCCCCAACGATAAGCACAACAAGGACAGCGAAAAAGTACAAGTCCTTTAGGATACATCATACAGTGTACTTATGGCAAGCAGAGCGTACAGATTTAGTCAATCAGATTATGGCCGAGTGGCTTTTTGACTGAACAGAGTGATGGGACAGAACACTTATCACGGCCGGCGGCTTGATCGATATTATCACTCGCACGGCTTGTACCGATCAACGCTACACCGTGGGACAAGTAATCAGGACAGCGTGAAAACGGGTCGTTAGGCCTGCCTCTTTCATAGATTTGCGCTCTAACATTCAATACAGGGTCCATATAAGATTGCATAAAAGCTTAGGGCACTATTGGACAGTTTGTTAATCCTATTGTCCTTATTTCTCATTTTAATTATCGAGCGCCAGTCGTTAGGTTATTTAAATAATAATTCCTATTTGTTTATACCCTTATACCTTTTTTCTCTCCCCTGGCATGTTCCACCCATTTAACTCCTAGTTCCACCGGTCTCGTATTATAGAATGCTAGGGTTATCGCCTGATGCAGGGGCCCCAAAACAAGACTGTTACCGCAGGTTATAGTAAAAGTAGATTTACGCTGCACCGACTGCAGAATCTTCTCCTCACCCACCTGGGCCCAGTGTCATTTCCAAGTCAGGGAGACCGGGAGGGGTGGAAGAGGACGCAGGTGGCTAGTGCGGCCGGGCATTTCCATAGCGTGCTACCAAACGTTGCTCGAATCCAAGCAGAGTGATAGTTGCTTAGAAGTCATATTAAGACGGAGTCTTTGCAACCTGACTGTCTTTCCTCTAGTAAGCAACTGCATATAACCGAATACTGGACTACCTGAGCGGTCAGAGTTACTCCTTCAGGTGAAATTTTTCCAGGCCAGGGCATTTAGCGCACAGTTATAGTCTCAGGTCTGCATCACACCCCTAGCACAGGCGCCACGTGGAGAGGTTTTTCACTCACGCGATAGGTGTCGTTTACGAGCATGTGTGATGTAGGTACTG